CCTTTCAGTTCTGCAGCAGGAGCGGTGTACAGAGCTGCTTTCTTTTGAGAACAATCCTGTAATAACTTGAATGGCCAGAATGGGGTGGCTTTGCTGCAGACGGGCCTTTGCTGCACCCGCAGCAGATGCCCGCTCAACGCTGCACAGCTCAGGCTTCCCAGCGTCTGAAAGGACATAGGGCTACCTGTGCCATTCTCTCTTAGTTCTATTAGCTCTAATAAATACCAGTTTAAACGATACTTAATGAAGTCTGAGTTGCCTCATCACAGGCCAGCAACTGCTGGTGCAAAACACCTCCCCCCCCTGCCAGACCAGCCGGGGGCGGGGGAGGGAAAGGACACCCCGCTCTGCGCAGAGGGCATGGGAGTCAGATGTGCATGGCAAAGGTCAGCGCTCGCTGACCTTTCTACAAAAAACCCCGCCCATATATGATAACAAGCCATTTAGGAACAGAAGTCCTAGAACATCCTCTAGGTCATCCACATCCTGATGCTTCAAGGTTTAATTCTAGAGTTGGTTTTGTTTGGTTGGTTTTTTTTTTTAATTTAAAGAGGAGAAAAGGAGTAGTACTTCCCCTTCCTGCCCACTTCTGTTCACACATAGACACAAACGTACTTCCCATGATAAAGGCACCCCTGTATTACAGGCAGGGATTGGGCTGGACTGGGAACCTCGCTCTATTTCCTGCGAGTCAACCACCCCTTTCGCGTAAGGTCAGCGAACATCTGTAGCCGCAGTGTGGGAATCTGAGTAGTGTTACCATCAAATGAGTAATACAAACTGTGATCTCCTGCGAGGTGGAATGAATTATTTGCCCAAGATACTTGAGCATAATGCAACTTCCGAGGCATCAAGGAACTTCACAGCAGTTGAGAAGGTCTCAGAAAAAAAAGCACAACACTTCAGAAAAGTTAGAAACATAAAGAAGAATTTCTCTTAAGTTTCTGCTACTACCAGTTAAGGGCTTGGGGTTTTTGTTACTTTCTGTCTCGAACTTAGATAGATGTTTCCTGTTTGCTTTGTAGGGGTACATCCTTTGCAATTCTATTAAACAATGAGCAAGAACGTTTTGTACTTTCTAATTTGAATGTGACTGAGTAGCACTCATTATGTACAGACAATATCAAATACGGTACTTGCTGATTAGTACTTATAGCTAGTTTTTTTTTTACCTACAGAGCAGCGTAACAGGCTCCTTTTAGCCTTTGTAGTGTTTGCGTATATTGTGTAATGGAAAGAAGGGGCAGATCAAGCTATGTGCATCAGCCAGGTGCCAGTGTGAAGGTCAGGATGAGTTTTTAAGGTACATGATAAAACAAGACATTTATAGGTTAAGGCAATATCTTACTATATCAACTAGGATAGGTTTTTTAGAAAGTAAACACGTCAGGGGAAAAAAAAAGCCCTTGTTGAGATCTAAAAGAGAAGCAAAAGGTTTCCAGCCTGAGTGGAATTAGAGAACAATTTTCTGAATTTCTTTAGGTGTGAATGAGACAATGTGAGAGAAAAGGAAGTTGATATCTGTGGAACAGCAGTGATATTAGTAGGAGAGTAAGAGAAGTGACAGATAATTATCTATAGGTGGTAGGGAAAAGAATAGAGAAATGGGTAATTTCTAATCTCTGAAACATGGAAAGGAGAGGCAGAAGGGAAATTGTAATACATCACAAAAACGTCTAAAATTACCTGGTATCCACTGCCGCTGCCTGCCTCCTTAAGCCCAGTTGCTATTCTGACACCATCATGACAAGTGTTGGCTGTGGCCTTTCCCCATGGCCTCATTTCTGCTGTCTACTCTCACTGCTCACACGGCATAGAGTGCTTTCAGTCAGGTGGCAAGGAGATATGCATGACATTACTGCAGTGCTTTGCAAGGAGAGGAGTTACTTAGCTGAGTGGGAAGGCTGTATCTAGTGCTTTCCTCCGCTGCACATTTTTCTGCTGAAATTCTGTTGACGGACATCTGAAATTAGCAGTTTTTAGAGCTGTACTAAATCACAGTCTTTCTGCAGTAGAACTGACTTAACGGCAGTGGTGGACTATGTATCAACACAGTCCAGGCTCTTGGAGCCATGAAATATTTCTGAGATTCAAAAAAAGAAAACAAACAACACAGGGAATCTCTAAATACACTATTAGCAATACACTATGACTCACTATCTATTGGAATAGATAACCACTGGGCAATTTTTATATTTCTATGAATCAAAAATATGAACGTTCATAACCCAGCATCCTACACTGTAGAAAACATAATATAGGTGAGCAGTTCTATTGCTATGTTATTTAAGACTATATTTTTTAAGCTGCTTGATCTAAAAAGATCTAAAAAGAAACTTCCTTTGCCATAATAACCACATATAAAAATAAGTTATCCAAACCATTTATTCAAGAAAATATTTGGTAAATGTCTAGTGTTCTTTTATAACAACTAATTACTTCTGTAACATTAAGGTTATATGAGCTCTTTTTACTGTGAGATGATCTTCATAAGAATAAATTGTCTAGTCAATCATATCTACCATACCTCATTTCATCCCATACCACTTGAGATCGTTAGTATGTAAGCCACACTTAAATATACACAAAAGATCTTAAATATAACTGTTGAGATACAGTTCAAGGTTGTTTTTTTCCTGTCAAATATCTGATGCAGAAGAATGATACAGGTTTTAATAAATAAACTAGTAAATTATGATATGATGAAGATATCTAAGGAAGTTATTCATTGTTGTATATATATAAACAGCATTTGTACCCTTCCTTGGGTATTTGACCGTGGGTTGATCCTTTGATTTTTTTATTCACTTGTAAACAGACTTATTCTGTTTGTAAACAGACTTTTTTAAAACAGTATGCAACTACTTAATGGAAATAAGCTAATCTACATGAAGAAGAGCTACAGTATTGTCATTTGATTTTAGACATTAAGTTAGCAGACCTCCTCCAGCTGGACAAAAACCCTTTTTTGTTATATATCGATCTGAATTCCATGCGAATAGTTAACACACTGCATGTTATTAACAACATATTCCTAATTACGTCCTTATTAAAGATGAAAAATGAGCTGCAATATGGATTTTTTATTTATTTCAAGTAAATAAGATACCATGTCCTTCTGCAAAAGCATTTATAGCTAAAGATGTAATTATTAAAAACCCAAGTTTTCATATGTTAAGATAGAGAAAATACTCATTCATGAGTATGTACAATCACCCATGTGTAAAAGCATTGCTAAGTTCTGTGTGCTTCGTTTTGTATTTCTATCAAGAAGCATACGTTCTTCCCCTCAAACTTCTGCTTCTAGACATTTTACTGTGGCCTCAGGCTTGGTTTTAGACTCTTCTAAGTTTTTTCCGTTATTCTTTGTTTCCTTCTCAGGTGTTTTGTCATTTGACTTGGCCTCTTTGAGAGCAGTAGTTTCAACCATTTCTTTTTGCTGATTCTTGTTTGAAAATGGGAAGGTTTTCTTGTACCTTTAAACAGAAAAAAAAGATAGTAAAGCAGAAACACTGACATATTTTGGTAGTATCACTCAAAAAATAAAGTGAAAAACATCTAGAATTAACTTTATTTGCCATACTCAAGCGAAAGTCTCACAGAGAAGAGTGGCATGCTAGATCATAGTGCTTTTTCAAGCAGTGTGCTTTCTAAAGAAACACTTTTATATTTTTTTTAAAAACAAACAATGTATACTCGGGATTTGTGACACATAATGATAAAGCTATCTGGGCTGGGATGTGAGAAATGCACGCAACTTTTTGATATGATTTAATGATTCACTGTGTTGAAGATCTTTATGGATGACAAATGATTTCAACTACTACGTTTCCTGAACACAGTCATAGTCCAAGAATAAAAACTTTTACCTTGAGTCTGATGTAGAAAGAAACAAGAATAAAACTGCATAAACAGGCTTATATACAAACAGATGCATGCTTCAGTGTTGCTATCTTGGTGCACTTGGAAGTGTTTCACACTAGGCATGACTGCCTAATCAAAAATAGACAATATTTTTCTTTGGTTCCTTTTCTAAAGCTAGGAACGGCAATGGCAACAACAAACTTTATCTGCATAACAACGGGGTTTATGGTTTTGTTCTTTGTGCTACACTGTTATGCCATTATCATGACTTCTCTGCTCTCTAGCTATATATTTAAAATATTCACTGGTTTTACTCTAGGAGTTAAGTTAGTCCAAGAGAATAAAAAAAAGAAAAAAACTTACTTTTTGATATAGCAGACTGCTAGAACAACTGAAATAATAAAGAAGATAACTGCCAGTACAAGAAGTGCAGTGGGGATACCTAGAGATAAAAGTGAGGTAAGCATAGAGTTTTTATGTGTACTTAATTCTAATTTCTAAAGGCTCATGAGCATAATCCCAGAGTCTTAAAACAGCCTAGCCTAAGAGGTACATACACGTCAACTCAAGAATAGAGGTATGAGGAATCTCAAAAGGTTAGTTACTCCTGCTCATTTTTTCAAGAGAGATTAAACCAGGTATTTAGGCAATCCCTGACAGATGTTTGTCTAATCTGCTCAATGGTGGGTTTTTACAACCTGCCTAGAGAACACATTTTTGCGATTAATTATCCTTACAGTTAGAATGCTTTTCCTCATATTTAGCCTATTTCTCAGTTACTGTATATTAGGATTACTTATTCACACCTCATAACTTGAGAGCACCTCCATATTTGGAGAACAACAATTTTCCTTAAAACTTTCTTGGCTTCTTTTGTTTTTAAGACTCTGCTGCGTTTTCCATTCCTCTGAGCACATGGTATTTGCTAAGACTTTCTCAGAAATATATTTACCCCAAATCACATTAATGAGAATGAACTTCCACCATTTCAAACTAAAATATTATCAAAAAGTATAAAATAAGATCTTACTACTGCTTAAAAATTATTTAAAAATCCTCTGCCTTATAAGCTTTGCTTTTGCAAAACCCTAACGCCCCTAATTCTGCCTCCGGGTTCAGCTATGTGAAAATGGATGCTGGAGTAGCAAACAAACATAGCAGTAAACACTTTTACTACTAACATCTATGAAACTAGCTCTTCTGATTAAATAGGTACTACATGGCTTTTACCTCCAAAGACAATGGCATCATGGGAAGTGTAGTTAGGAGAGTAAATTGGTGAGTATTCCTCTGGCATTTTTGTAGTAGTCCCCTCTGTTGGTAGTATAGTTTCAGTTATACATATTACACGAAACTTTTTATTTTTCAGGGATTGTTCTGACTCAGTCACACTGGGGGCTGAGGTGATGATCTCAGTCAAGTCAGAGCCTGAATACGCAGTTAAGTCCGTTGGTGCACTTGATGAAGGTAGTATGGTTGTAGCTGGATCTGGTTTACATGAATTAATCTGAACATCTGCAGCAGAGAAAGGAAGTACATAAGAGTTGTGTTGGATGTTAGTTTTGTACTTACTGTACACACACGTTTATTGAAATTGTTCCTCAGTCATTCCCTTCTGGCAAATTATTATTTGTTTATTCACAAATATCTTACCCAGATGAGGCATACGTATTTCAAACGTGGCTACAACACAGATTACACACCTTTTATCATTCCTCACATAGTTAAACACTTTTTTTGAGCAAGTGTGGTGCTCATTTTGTAAGTACATACCAATGACAAGATTCCTCATGAAAAATACTTAGAATAATAATGCATACAAAATGCAATACTATGACCTGCTGCAGAGCAGGAGACTTAACTACAGATCCAAGATTCAAAAATATTTCTATTATATTATGTATATGTTCAAAACATATGCATGTGCTGCTGATACTTGGAACACTATTTTGATTTCCTGGAAACAAAAGTAGCCCATAAAACTTTCAGATAAACCAGGCACCAGTGTGAGATAAAAAAGTCCCACCATTCTAACAGGTGCTAGAAAGAAACAAACCTCAGACACAGTCAGAAATTAAGTCATTTTAAATGATGTGAATGTCGTCTATATAAAAACACGGGTGCAAGTGGACTTTTATATGTAAATGGAAAAGCTGAGTTCTGAATCAAGCTCATGTGAAAATTCTTTTCTAGTACTGAAGTTCTATATTCTGTAAAGCTATAAAAATTTCACTAAAGTAACAAGCAGATTACAGCATAAATAAGAGGGAAGCAACGTATGCACCGTTCTCCAAATGAATCCCCATCGGAAGTCTGATGACGCAGTTACATTCACAGAATAAAAAGGTAAATGGCAGGGGCTTTTTACTTCTTCCACTATAGTTTTCAAGTGATTTTGGCATTTCTTTGGCACAAAGAAAATTATCAGAATGATCTTCTGCCAAGTATTTTGGGTAAGAAATGCCTAGAACAGGCAACAGTTTGGCAATTAAGATAAAAAAAAATGCAGAATCATCCCAATTCTAAATATACATTATTTTCTAACCATTCAGCAAGCTTAACTTTCTTCACATACTGTAACAGTATAATTTTTTTGAATTAAAGCTAAACAAAGCAAGGAATTTGGAATTACTTGCTACCTCCTTAGCATTACCCAACCTACCCAACATTTCTGATGCAGAGCGACACATATTTCATGCACTGAAACACCATGTCACATAGGAACAGAAGAAACAACAGTACTAATAGGAACAGTGTCTTTTAGAGCATGTTGCCCGAGCACTAATTCACCTATGCATTCATCAATAAAAGCTATGGACTGCAGGGAAAAACTAAGTTAGCCCAATCATGTAATTTTTAACTTTACAGGTTAGGTGATAAATCAATTTTTAACGGTACTTTCTTTCTGCAATGCTTTCTTATCAGCAGTCAGATACTTTGTAAGCTGACTACTTATATTACCTACCCTCCCTCACTAAAATGGCCCAGGATCATGAAAAAAGTCCCACTGGTGAAAGCATGGCCTTCTCCCTAACAGCTTTATCCTCAGTCTCTTTGTAAGCTCCAATGTTCACAATTGCCAGACATGGTCTTAGGTCTTTATATCTTTGCATGGGCGTATCTTGCGCATCCATCTTTCTTCTGCTCTTTCCAACCCTTGTTCGCACATCTTTCCCAAAAAATTTCACGATTTTGTACATAATCTCTTGGTCTTATTATCTAAAACTCATTGGCAAGGTCTAGGGACAGATTAGAAAGAATTTATCGATCCTGAATGTGGTCTAATTATTGGGATAGTTGTTACATAATAACCACAGATATGGGACACTAGCAGGAACACAATACCTCTAGTTAAATACTTATTTTTGGTTAATATCACAGAAGTCATTAAAACCCAATACCGATCTATTGTGCTGAGAAGATCAAACTTATATCAAGGCCCAAGTTCCACTGTTGTATCTTCAGTCTGGGAATAGACAGTCAAGAATGAGGGGAAGGACAGGTCTTTTCACATATAGGATGATGTACATTAAAGGAAACTGTTCGATTTTACTGATAATAGATTGGGAATCTAGTTAATTTTATGGTCTCTCAGCTGTTCTAGCTTATATTTTAATATAGTTTAATGGATACATTTCCTTTAATCAAAAAACATTCAACTTTTCCTCAAGTATCCCACTCTTGTTCTTCTTGCAAGAAAACACACACCACACACCCCCCCTCGTTAAAGATTTGATTCACTGTCTTTTAAATTAATGTACCTAAACAATCAAAACATATTAAGAGCATTATGTTGACATTACAGAATGGTAAAAACAACTCTTCTTCAATAGCTTTCATGGCAGCACCAAATTATTAGTTTGGATTAACTGAATCGACCTTTTGTATCTCTTGGAAACTTTTTTTCCCCCTACAGAGCTAAGCACAGTTTGACAACATTTAAGGCGGGGGGGGCAGAGAAGGGCCAACAAATTATAAGAACTCAGTCATGATTTTTTCATGAAGATATTAAAAAAATAATAAGACCCAAACCAAAACACAGAAAATGTAGCTGTTGTGCTTTACATACCTGAGGAATTGAAGCAGTAAACCTTAAATGTTTTGAACTGTTCAGCATACCATAGCACTAGTCCAACATTGCCCTTACCACACTTCTTGTTGGATGTTATCCGAGGAATGACAACCAATCCATCTTTCACCCATCCATAGCTACAATAAAAAGCATCAGTCCTTTTAATATTAGATTTATTACCAGCCACCGATGTGTTTAAAGGCATTCACTAAAGGTAATGAGGCACTAACTGATGTCATATACCTGCACGTTTCAAAGCCATGTTTCAAAGCCCTTTCAACTTGGTCTTTACTTGCCAATTGTAGATCCAGTTGATTACATGCCTTACTTGCTTCTGAGAAATTCACTTTCTCCTCAACATAAATTCCTACACCTGTGATCCTGCAAGTTGAAAGAACAGAACCTGCAATTTAGACATAAATACTCAAGGTTAGTATTTGAATATTAACATCTATTCCTCATGAAGAATTTAAGATCACGTTCAACTGAATTGAACACTGTTAAAAGCTTCTAGATTGAGGACAGTAGAAAACTAATTTCTAGCAAAAAAGATATACTTTAAAAATAAAACATATTTTCTTAACACAAGTCTAGAATTTCAAGAGTTTGGCTGATATTAGACTAGATGCATATACAGTTGGCATTTGAGAATCATTTCTGGTTTCCTGAATAGCTCCCTGTCTCACCTGCTGAGGCACATCCCACAATTCCTCTTTCTTGGTTTTCAAGACCCCACTCCTCCATTAGGGTTTATGCCTAATTCTTTTCTCCCCTTACTTTTTAAGCTCAGACTTCATTCTTACTCTTATTGCTTTCTTAGTCAATTACTTTCCTATCTTTAGACTTGAGCTAAAACAACTTTTTTTAAAAAAATGTAATGTTTAGAATGTAAGTTTCTCAATGACCAACTTTACAAATTTCAAATAAAGCTGAGCAGCTGACTGAATGACATTTCCTGAAACCTTAGAAAGTTGCCTAGGTACTTGTAAACTCTTACAGTCTTTAGTCATTCATTTACAGGAAAAATATTTTTGCATGAGAATTGTATGATAGATACAAAGCATAATACAAAAATTCAGTACCACAAAATTATGCCTTAAGTGATAAGAAAAGTGACTATAGGACACATTTTATTAAATACTTACATTCAAGTAAAAAAAAAAAAAATCCTGCACCTGGGTTGGGGTAACCCCCAGTATCAGTACAGGCTGGGGGAAGAAAGGATCGAGAGCAGCCCTGCCGAGAGGGACTTGGGGGTGCTGGTGGATGAAAAGCTGGAGCTGAGCCGGCCATGGCTCTGTGCTGCATCAAAAGAAGCGTGGCCAGCAGGTCGAGGGAGGGGATTCTGCCCCTCTACTCTGCTCTGCTCTGGTGAGACCTCACCTAGAGTACTGCGTCCAGCTCTGGAGCCCTCAGCGCAAGAGGGACATGGAAGTGTTGGAGCAGGTCCAGAGGAGGGCTACAAAAATGATCCGAGGGCTGGAGCACCTCTTCTATGAGGACAGGCTGAGGGAGTTGGGCTTGTTCAGCCTGGAGAAGAGAAGGCTGCAGGGAAACCTGATTGCGGCCTTTCAGTACCTAAAGGGGGCCTGTAGGAAAGATGGGGAAAATCTTTTTAGTGGGGCCAGCTGTGTCAGGACAAGGGGTAACGGTTTTAAACTAAACCAGGGTAGGTTTAGACTGGATCTAAGGAAGAAATGCTTTACAATGAGGGTGGTGAAACACTGGAACGGGTTGCCCAGGGAGGTAGTGGAGGCCCCATCCCTGGAAACATTCAAGACCAGGTTGGATGGGGCTCTGAGCAACCTGATCTAGTTAGTGGTGTCCCTGCTCACTGCATGGGGGGGTTGGACTAGATGAACTCTAGGGGTCCCTTCCAACCCAAAACATTCTATAATCCTATGACATGGACCAAAGATATACCTAAGCATTTGCTAAGCCTTTTAAAACAAAATAGTGAAGTAAAAGAAGTGCTTTGGAAAAGTTATCAGCTTCAATCTAAATTCCAGATGGTTTTACAGTGTGAGGAAGAGATTCAGAAAGAGAACAGTAGCCTCTTCGAGTCTTTTCATAATTTCTTAAATAATCTCTGAACTCTGTTCTAAAGATGACTGAGTTTGCACAGGAGACACACTGATCCTTTAGAAGCATATTATCCTATTTAGTTAACCTACCCATAATGGGACATTCTCTTCAGTATTTGGGTCTTGTGTGAAAAGTCTGTTTTATGAGAAAGGCGGGAAGACCTGGACAGAAGAATCTTACAACAAGACAAAGTTGTCATTGGACAGGAAGAAAAATGTTCAATTTTTGTAAGCTACATGTATTGGCTTTATTGTGCATTAGTTCTCTTCTTGCTTTTTTTGGGGAAGCTGTTGTTTCTCTCTCTCTCTCTGCCTTGTGCCAAGCTTCCACTCTGATTTATTAGAGAATGTCTCCTTTGGCTGCTGATGTCAGGGAGCAGCAAGAATGAGGCTCTTCCACAAGGAAAGAGGAGCCAGCAGCTGAGGGTGACCGCAGCATAGGCAGGACAGTGCCCTCACCGACCAGGGCACTGTCCCACAGCACCTGAACAGGACCATGTGGTGATAGCAGGTTTCACTAGGAGCCCCAGAAAAAGAAAGACAATGAGTCAGATGCAGGGTTAATCCAGAAAGTCCATTTGGGAACAGCAGAAGATGGTGCTACCTACAACACATACCTGAAGTCTATCCTGGAGACAAGGCTACCTACAACCTATGTCCAGAGTCCATCTGTGAAGCCCAGTCAGTAAGTCACTGGAGGAGGGGACAGGGCATGCTACAACACAGCTCAAAGACACAGCTGGAGATCAGCCATGAGCTCAACTGGAGCTCAGTTCTGAGTTTAACTGTAGCTCTTGGACCAATGAGCAGAGGGTGCATGAGTAGGTACCCCAAAGGAGGCTTGGAGGGGAACTGGGGGGGGTGTGTGTCCTAACAGCTGGAAGGACCCTTAAGACTCAAGCCCTTCATTTCCCCATAGAAAATTATTCAGGGGTTGGGATTGCTGGAGGAAACTACTGGTTTTAGTTACTCCAATCCTGTGGAATTTCAATAGGACTTGAGCATCTAATTCACTCAGTCCAGATTTCCTTTGGAAGCCTTTCAGGAGATAAGAAAATCAATTGTCTGCAACAATGATTTATCTTCTTTTACATAGGTAGAACAAGCATTTACTCCTTGCAAATTACAGTGAAACATCTGGAAACATCTAATGTACATTGAGTATCTGCAGATATCCTAATAGCTACTGCAGTTAGAATAGATGGTGTCAAGTTAATAATGGAATTTGAAGGAGACCACCTTCAAATTTCACTAACATATTAAAAAGGTGGTATTATATGTTCCTGGTTGAAAAAATAGGTTCATATAATAATGTTTGAGTGGTGAGGTTTATCTAAGAACTGTGTGATAAAGTTGATGCTGGCAATTCCCTATGTTAACTTTTTCAAACAAACAGATAAGTTCATACAAAATAGGAACTTTTGCACTGTATTAACCGGAGACAGGCATGACTGCCCTGGTGATGAACTGCAAGATCCCTACCACACATTTCCTTCAATAGTGCAAATCAAGACAGTGTCAAGATTTTGCCAAACCAGAGTAAAACACTTTGCAATAAAAATAACATTTTATCACAGACACACAGAACTGGTTTCATGCATGTTTTGCTGTGCTATTTTAAATAATACAGAAGACAATCACATTTCAACAGATCTGAACTTAATTCTAAATGCAATACCAAATCTTTAAGACAAGCAGTTCTGTAGCATTTAGACAACAATGCTACAGCATTTAGTAATTAAATTAGACTAACAATGCAAGTTCCCCTATATGCCAGAGCAGTTTTCATTGCAGTGTATTCTCAAAACCCTGTGGTTTCCTATGCCAGAAGCACATTTACACGTGCTCCCTTCCCCTAATTTTTGTTTACAAATCTAGCTACCTTTTTCAAGTACTTTACTGTTCAACTAAGAGACTTTAAAAAGTGGAACTTCACATACCTGTTATAAAGTAATTTTGACCCATGAATGTCATAACCCAGATGAAAAACACTGCTGAGGTAACTCCAAAATTAGTTGCCATTGTCACCAACTTGAAAAATTAAGAAATTCAAGGTGATTTGTCTCCTGTGCTAAGAAAAGTTAAGCTATTGGATGCCGTCAGACCAGTTTTGAGATGACTTCTTGAAAGCAACTTCAGCTGTCACTGCACTGCTTCATAGAAAAACTGTCAGAGCAAATGAGTTGACTGTCCCACTCAAAGGTGAGGTCACTGACTGGAAATCCCTAATTACACTTTACACTTGCTTTCATGTAGGGCTTGCTGGAAAATTTAACTACTGCTGACTCAGAAAACACAGCTGAGGAAGAGAGATAAGACTGTTAGACTGCTAAGTCAGTAAACACTTTGAAAAAGTTTTTCTTTTGCTATTTTTTCCTGTTTTACTGATTAACAGCTCATTACTCATGTTGTCTCTTCATCTGGTAAATAAAAATGAATTCTCTATTGTATCACAGCATGCCAGGCAGGATTTTTCTTTCGAATTGGACAGGCATCCATTCCCCACTACCCTATTTGTCTTGATTTAGTACTTTTACCTTCCTTTGCCTTGGAGTTCCAATGCAAAAATAGGTACCATAACACAGAAATAATATGATACCTCATTTTGAACAAATTTGGAGATACACTACTGTAAGTGGAGTTCCTTGTGAGACTGTAGGGACAGAGATGGGAGCCAGTCCCTTCACTGCTGCCTTTTGTGAAGTTCCACAAACAGTGATTTCAATAGACTAATTCAAAACACAGATGATCCTCATGGCTGTAACTTAGAAAATCTTCAGGAAGTTCAAGCAAAGAAATGATTTTTTTGCAGAGATTCCAACAAACACAGAGCAGGAAGCGAGTCTGAAAGATCAGCTAGTTCCCTTTCTACTGTCAGTAGAATCAGCTGTATTTATGTTATTCCTGTCAGATGTTTGTATAACCTGTTCTTAAAGACTTCCAGTGACAAATTCCTAATATTTCCTCAAACGCTCTATTCCAGTGCTTCACTATCCTATACTGTTGAAAGGTATTCCCTAGCCTAAACTGACTGACCTATCACTTCTTTTCATGTTGGAAATGGAAAATAGTTAATTCCCTTATATTTTGCAAGGATGTTATGTGTTTAAAGAGTTATACTTCTGCTCCCACTTTTCTTTCAGCTAAGAAACCACAGTTTGCTCACTCTTTCTCTCTAGCTGAGGCCTTACCAATGCCAAATACCAATTAATAAATTACTTTACCTGCTTGTACAGTTCAGAATGGTATGAGCCTTTTTTTGCAACAGGATTATTTTGTTACATCATGTTCAGTTTGTGACTCAGTAAACTGCTAGATGTCCTACATCCCCGGGTTGTTTTCCAGGTTCTGTAAACACAAGCGTAACAATAGCTACCTCTTTAAACTGCGGTTTGCATTGTAAAAAGTTCCCACTTAATATATTAAGATAGTATTAATTTTTATCTGGGCACAGGCCCAATCTCTTACACCAGCATATAACATGGTTATGGGTATACTGTAACATAGACAGGCATCTACAGGGCTGAGAGGAGAATGCTGTGGGTTAATGAAATGATGCCTCCATTACCAATTAAGAAATGAAAGTTGGGTTGTGTTTGGGCTGTGGTTTGGAACTGAGTGTTGGTAAAGCTCGTTAAGATCTTAAGCCAAATTTCTTGCTCCAATTTCTATTCACTCCTTTATTGTGTTATATTTACCTGCCTCTACAAAGTGATGGCAATCTAAAACATCGTAATCAGACTTACTCTCACTGAAGCAAGTTCTAAGTGGATTCACTTGCATTTACAATGTAGGAGCAGAAACTAGTAGTTACTCTGTAGCTTTCATGGACTAGTAGACTATAGCTATAAAACACCAAGAAGGTTAAAGAAAATCTTACCATCTCCATGCTTACCTTGAATTTCCTAAGTATTTCCTACCATGAAAACTAATAAAAAGCTGGGTTCTGACATTTTAAAATTGCACACTAAATTGTCTTTCCAAGTTTTAACACTTTGCACCTATTATCCTCACTGTGGCAAAGTTCCTTTAGTCAAACTCTGTCCATGCTATTGATGTTTAGTCGGATTTTTAGCTGGAAAAATGAGATAAACAACTTTGTAACACCAAACAAAAAAAAAAGCTCCTTCACTTGGCTTTGTAAGAGCAAACTACAGTTTAGGAGAGGGAGAAAAGAATTTTAGAATGGTCAGGTGAGGCTGAATTTGTTGTTGTTGTTAGTTTCTTCCCTTTTATATTTTAGCTGTTCCAAAACTGTGTGGAAGATCACTGACCTAGACTGTAACAGTATGAAAGGTCTTCAACCAGTTTGTGGGTCTTGATCTTAATTTGTGTGGTGAAAAAAAAAAGCAGCCTTATACTGAACATTTAATTAGCGTTTGACCTAAATGCTTCTAGTAACCTATAAGGGAAATTCACAGAATCTCATGCCAGCATGTTTTAAAATGCTGATGAGGATTGGTAAACAGAAAACTTTTTATATGGGAGAACAGACTTAACTGTTCTCTACAATTATTCTAAAGGAACCTTGAAGCCTGAACAACAGGAGAGGAAACAAGTTTTAAAAAGTTTATGTGGAAAATACAAATATCAGGTTTTTTTTCCTGGTAACAATCATTCCTTTCGAGGTTGTTGCTGTCCCAAAGGTTTTCTTCCTGATACAGAACATCAGAGATTCAGAAGTTACATTTCTGTTCTTTGTGGAAATTGAGCAGTGTCTCCTTCCCACTGGTCTGGCAGTTCAGCTCTCCACAAAGCCCAGGCTTCCCAGACCTCCCCAGCCTGCAAGAACACAAAGCAAATAAAGAATCCCAACCTTTCACTCAGTCTCCTTGGGTTACAGATCTCCCTTGTGGCTTTCCGTGCTCAATCTCCTCAGTGACAGGCAGTCTCCCTCTGAAGCAGGAGTTAAACTCTCTCCAGGATATTTCAGTTTCCTCTCTCATCTTGTTTCTAGGATTGACCCTGCTTACAAACACTTTCTCTATTGAAACAGGAGTTTGCTTGCTTCTTCTACATCATTTTCCTGAAGAACTGAAAGACTAAGAACAAGATCTTTGGTATGTGTAACATGGCTCTACATTACACACAATAGACAAGGCAGTATGTATCGCCTAAGAACATAGCCATTAAAATGCAGACAGAACGCATGTAAAAAACAAACCTTTAAGGTAGCAACACTGAGGACTTTGAAACCATACTTTTATTTCAAAACTCAAGTATGTGATACTATACAGTACAATACCAGCACACTTGTGCAAAATCTTACAATATTACAAATTTAAATATGATACACAAAAATAGTGCCCTTTTAAAATTCCTTTTACTAGAAACATCTGTGCTGTGCAGGAAAAACAATAAACGTGTCTTGTTAAAGCAGAAAAATAAATATTGCACCTCAAGAAAACTATTTCAGTGGTAATAGCATAAATAATAGATCTACTTCTTGTTATCTGATGTGATCTTTGAACACAGAAGAGGCTGGGTTTTTTTCCAGATAAAGCAAACTAATATTCAACAGATAAAATTGCATTTAGAATAGTTTTTGAGCTCAATCTGGTTTCCTATTAAGAAAAGGTGTCATTAACTAACTAAAAAATACAAGTAAAAATATTTCACGTGTTGTTAGTCATTGTGGTTCATTATTTTTAGCGGACATTTTGCTCAAAGTGGTTATAAAAAAGAACTTTTTTTTTTTAAATAACCTTCATCTTTATCTTTTCATCCCTGTTAAAATCTCTTGCCTCTTTCAGTCCATTCCACACAACAGTTAATAACTTTGTGGCTAAATTATACTTGCCTTAGACATGCAAGTAGTTCACTTCAAATCAGTGCAACTACTTAGGGAAATTTGCCCTTATGCACTAAGCCCACAAAAAGCCAGTGTGCTGAATTTCAAGTGAGGATGGCGACCTCGTTGACCCATGAACCAAAAAAACCTTAGCACATGCTTAACATTAAACAGTTCAAGAGTCCTACTGACATCAATAACTTTCTACATCTACTTATAATAAGGTCTTGGACCCACATCAGTGCAGATGTAAATAACAGCGAATTAATTCGATTATAGGCCTTGTTAATTATTTTTCCTCAGTGCAGACCAACATTTCCACAATCACATAATCAAATGTGCCATAATTTTTGTCATAGGGGATTCTAAATCTTGAGGACTATTTACCTTTAATTTTTATTGCCTTATTAGGCAACTGACAAGTTTCTTCCAATACTGAAAGTACGTGAAATGTCGCAGGAGTTCTTCAGTCAGCTATTCTAACTGAACCAAACAGATACCAAGAAATTTGCAAGAATCCTTCTTCTGTCTTATTCTTTACCAAGTACAATTTTAGACCAAATGACACTTCCCCATTATCCTTTTTGAACTTCCTTAAGCACATTATCCCTCAAGAATATATACTTAAAAATAAAAAATAAGCCTCCCAACTGCTTATGGACTTCCCCACCACCACCACCACAAAAAAAAAAGTGGTAGCAGTCTGCTTTTTTATTTATTTTTTTAAGATTTTTATTTTCTTTCTCCATATAAATGTCTCTTAAGAAACGTGTGGCTAAAGATGTAACAAACAAAATTCACAAGCAGGTTATTTGTCACTTGTGCCAGATAAGTGAATTAAATTTCTGAGTTAGAAACCGGTTTTCTTTGATAGTTAGCTTGAGGTTCAGTGTTTACATCAAAAGAAAACAAGACAATACTAACTGCATCTGAACTGAAATTACCGTACTTCATAACATACTTTGGCCTTCAGTTGGTAAACAGACCTGTTAATCAGCTAGAAAATGCCAGAAGAATGCAAGACATGAGTGCAATCAAGTGTCACACTGATTTTGATATTGTGGTTAGACTCAAGCATATAGTTATGGAAAGACAAACATAGCTCATCTTCAATTAGAAGTCTCAGCCCTAGGTGGTGTGTTCTTTTACAGATAATGGCTTCACCTTTTTGAAATTGCTTTTCTAAAAATTTCAGGCTTTCACATCCTTGTGTAAGAGCTCTCAACTCTTAAATAGGCAGAACTGTTAAAAAATCTGGGCAAAATATTAATCCATCATGACCTGATAGTTTAGCTTTGAAAGCATATCAGAACAGTTATGTACTTGGCATCAGATTCTGAAAATGAACTGCTAAAACCACGAAGTGACCCCTTCAAAGTTCTCTCTGCTTTCATGTCCTGATTCA